CTCAGTCCCAACATAGGAAATCCTTTCTTTCTTACTATTCTTAAAGACTCTGGCTTTTTCGGCTTTTAGTCTTTCGACCTGTCGAACCCTATCGGCTAACTGAGCCATATCCCTCAAATACTGAGTGTCTAATTTCTTTCGAATAGAATAATCCAAACCCCCAGCGGCCATTTCGATTGACTCATGTTCAGGCACTACTGTGTAACATCTGGATTTCAACAGCCTAAATCTATTCAAATAATCATCTATGGGTTCAGTGAACTTTCTCTTAACACTGGCCAATTCCTTCAAACTTATTTTCGATTGTCCCATGTAAAATTGTTCATGGAATAATCTCTCTAAAAGAGTCCAAGTGTCAATAGACCCAGGAGGCAACGTGGTAAACCAAGTGAAGGCGTTTTTTGTCAAGGAACTTGGGAAGTATTTGATCCTGAGATCTTCATTATTGGCTATATCTCCCGCTTCGGTTAGATATCTCGCTATGTGTTCGACTGTTGACTCATTGGTATCCCCAGCGAACTTTGTAAATTTAGGGACTTTGTATCCCCTTGGTAAATCAGTATGCATTATACAATCCAATATAGGAGAAGCTTAATTTGGCCTCCTCATTCCCGTATTGAGGCCATTCTGGGCCATGATCCTCTCTATCATGGTGGTTAGGTTATTTTCTGCCAAGATGTTATCGTTTCGAATCCTATGAACGACGGCATCGGCATCTTGATTTCGACCAACCAAAACAACTCCCCTAGGTTGTTCTTCTCGAAATTCTGGGGCTTCTGGCCTTTCGATCCTTGCCCCTGGTTCCATAACTTCCCTTTGTGGACCCGGAATTATTGGGGCTTCTAACCTTGGTGCTCTGGCCCCTAAGTTAACTTCTTCTCTGGGTGGTCTATGAATTGGGTCGTTAGCAATTTGTTCTATAACAGGCATGTTTGTTCGAAATCCCGCCTGGTTTTGCCTACGCCTTTCTGTGGGAGCAAAGAAATCTGCTATTCGACTCATATTGTCAGCGTTTTCCCTGTTCGTCACAGTCACATTCTGAACTATTGGGGCAAATATTTCCTGCATGGTTTGCGCTAACACCCCTATCATATTGTGGTTGCTGTCATCCATCAGTTGCCTAAAAGCCAACTGGTTATCTGTGGTTAGGATAGGCAACGTGCTATAACCCACTGACCCTTGGTTATTTGTCATAAATTGGTTCGCCCCAGACCCAGATCCTAGTTGTGGGGATGAATTCGATGTGGAATTGTGTAAACCTGCCATAAAAGATGTTGGCATTCCGTAAGAATAACTTCTAATTTTATTCCCATCGAAGCCGGGCGGTCTAGTTAATGGTGTGGCAAAATGGGATTGTGTTCCTGGTGGTGGAACGAATCCCCCAGGGTAGCCCATAGTTCCAGTATTTCCTAAGATCGAACTGTTAGTTGATATGCCACTTACTCCATTGGTGGCTATGTTACTGGTTGAAGATGCAACAGACTGTGCATTCGAAGGGATTACATTAGATGTTCCGCTCGAAATGGACGCGTTAGTGCCTGTTGCATGTGGGCCACCTTGGTCTCCTTGTTGATTGTCTGAATTAGACATTTTGTCCAAACGTTTTCTTCTGGATAAAGGTTGGTTGCTGTTGGTTATCTTACCACTTCTCAGGTTCATAAAACAGCAAACTTCTTAGGTTCCTACGTTTTTGTAATGGCTACGTCTCGACAATCCTTAATTCTGATATCCAACTATTGGTCCCACCGGGTGTGCCAATTTGTTTCCAGTGATTTCTGGTAAACAACCGCTAGTCTTCCAAACTATCGAATAATCTTTCTTAACGTTATTCAATCTCTCTGGTGACTCACAGGATCGACTAGATTGATCCTAGGACTCCTTGGATATTAAGGTTACTCTCACAATCGAACAATTATTCATGGTTGCTATTGTACAAGTGTTTGGCTTACTTCGATCTCTCTCTCTAAGAGTTTAAAAATGTGGTCGAAATGTATATGAAAACTAAGTTATACGAATAAATGCTAATTGTAATGCTGATTGTAGAGACATATAAAACTGCATGAAAAATGAAGTAAATGGTTTCGATTTACAAAACGTTTAACATAAAAGGTTTCTGGAATGTAGAAGTTTAAAATGTGAAGAAAGCGTTTAATGCAAGAAATCTGTAAATGATTTTAAGTAAAAGTATGCGTTTGAAGAACAATACTTGAAAGTAAAGGTATTGAAAGATGTGACAGTTCTCTGAAATATAAAGTGCTCGAAATATAAAGAAAACAGTAAAACGTAAAACTTTGAGGAAAAGACTTTGAAATGAAAAGACAGTAAATAAGAAAACTTGCAAATGTTATTCGACAAAAAGAAAAGAGGAAAGTACTGGAAATGGTAAAAAGGCTTTCATTAAGTTAGAAATACATGGTGCTATCATACATACATTTCTCTTGCATTCGTTTCCCTTGCCATGCGGTAGTTTGAATGTTATTGAGTATTTTGTATAACAGATATGACACACCGAAATCCTAATACTAAGACTTCTATTTATACTAATTCGACCCTAACGGTCTCGCTATAGGATTATGCCACGTTTCGAACATGCAAGACAATACTTCTTTCACCTTTCCACGTGTCCCCAAATGCTCCAACACATAACTTTCAAACTTTGAAAGTCCCGCTTCCATTTGAATTTTAAATGCTTTGGTGTTTCTCCGTTTCGAACGCTTTTCCCAAACATAGCCTCGCTGTTGTTTCGAGACCCCTTTGGATATGTTCCCATAATCACCGTTCGAAGCTTCAAGCTTTGACACACTTATTCGAAACACTGCTTCTGCAACTTCGAAATATGGCGTTTAATTCCATTTCGATCAGAACTTTTAACTCTTTTGAATTCTAAATAACATTATCAAAATCTTCAGCCAACAGGTATATGTTAGTTTTACCGAGACCATATGGTGAACACCTAATATACTTGTAAATAGTACAAAATTATGATCTTACTTGTTGAATACATGTAAAGTCGCAATATGTTTGATATGTGGATAAGTGATACCTTAAATTATTCTCTCCTTTTGTGTTTGTCGTTAGAATAGTCTTGACTCAACTTTATTCCCCTGGTTGTTACATACGTGACATTGTTATTTCAGAGCATTCAACAATTTTGTATTTGAGTATTCTCTTAAGATTTTACTAGATCTAGAGCAAATGAATTGAAATGTATTGATGCCTAGTGAACTTGAGTTATTGCAGAGATATCAATTCAAGTATAATTTAAAATTTTATTTTTGAGAAATGGCAAAATGATAAGAAAATAAAAGTTAAAATATTTTAAAATTTTATATATTTAATTTATTAAAAATATAAAATTATTATTTTATAACATGTTTCTATTTTAAATAGGGGTGTGCATGATTACCCTATATTGTGATCTAATCCACTTTTATAGTTATGGTTTACAAACCAAACCATTAATCACAAAAATTGATTTAAAAAACATAATTGGTTTCAAACTGGATTAAAACCGGTTTGAAACCAATTATAATTTTAATCCAAATTATTTAAATATAATTTAATCTATATTCAATTCATTTTAATTAATAAAATTTTAAAATTAATTCAATATTAATTTTTTTAAACATTAATAAAGCACATCCTTAATTTAATTTTAAGCAGATTTTAAAAAATTGTCGCGGTCGTATTATAATTTTTGCAATTTCGGTCGATAGAGGTGTTACGACATTGATTGTGTTCGTCGCAGTGTAAATTATTAATTATAATTTGTTTTTTAATATAAAACGGATATAACAGTATCGATATCGACATATGTCAAAAACATTTTGTCGCAGTCGTTCTCACAGTCACAAAGTATTTTTTAAAACCTTTTTAATGTTTAAATGATCCTTTTTGTTTTATCAATCCTAAAAGAAAAGTCAATTAATACTGAGATAGTTATAATTAATTCACTGTGTACATTCGTTTTCTTATATAAAGTATATGTATATTAAATGAAAAGAGATCAAGTTCAAACAAATTTCTTTCAAATTTAAATTTGTCTTCTACAGTGATAATAATATATCTTGCTTTTTAAATGTTTACTATACTATATCTTTCAATTTATTTGAGAGTGTTTGCATATTTTTTAACTATAATTAAATATTTTTATATTTATTTAATAATTAGTCATTTGAAATAAAGTGTTAAACATCATTCAATTTTTATGAAAATGTGTAGAGTTTATTTTCTTGAGAAAGTGTGAAAATTGAAAAGCAGAAAAATTTGATGAGAAAGAAATTTGGATACCCAATAACGATTTTATGCGTACCGGTTTACCACTTTGACCATACATAGACCACCAAATCCAATATTTAATATTTGAATTTAGTTTTAATAAATAGAACAATTTAGATATAAATTTGGTTATAAATAACCATTTTTTTTTGCACACCCCTAATTTTAAATTGTTTAACAAACCCTTTAAAACCCCAAGTTATCATAATATCATTTAAAAAAATTATTTTGGAATTAATTTGATATATACTTTTTCTCTTTTCATATTTCCATGTTAGTGAATGTCAAAAGAAAGGCTAGTCCATCTTACAACAACCACACACCAATCGATCTTTATTTTTATTCACTTTTCCGCTCAAATGAACGCCTCACGAAAATCATGCTAATTTCAACCGTAAAAACCTTTATCATTCCCATTATCAACAAAACACACTAGTTATGAGATGTAAATTAATTTCTCATCATTATTACAATAAAATAAAATCAATTAGTAATTAAGATCAGTATCAAAATTATAGCAAAACTTTAGTGATAAACAAAACTCGAATATTTAATAAATATTGTTAAAAAAAAAACAAAAAGAAAGTAAAATAAAACAAAAAAACTCTGTCTCAAAAGAGTGACCCATGCAGCGCAGTCTTATATAAATGGTGTGACCGTAGCAAACAAATCTCTCATTCTCTTTTCTTTCTCCTTGTTGTTTGCTATATAGAGATTCAAAAATGGGTACTAAACGCCACCGTATTACTATCTTGTTTCTCCTTACAGTTACGGCGGTGATGATAACAGTGAAAGCAAGAGGCGAATATAGTTCACCGGAACAGTGTGACCTGTTCACCGGAACATGGGTGGTGGACGAATCGTATCCGTTGTATAAACCAGCCACGTGTCCGTTTATAGAACGCGAGTTCAGGTGTGAAGCAAATGGACGGCCTGATCTGATTTATACACATTACAGATGGAAACCACTCTCCTGCAACTTACTCAGGTTATCATTATTACTTTCTTTCTTTTCATTGCTTTTTTTTTTTTTGTATTGTCATTTTCACAGATTTTATCTTACTTTTGCCTCTACAGTTATGCTTTTTTATTTTTTAGTTCAGCTAGTACCAATTATTGTTGCTTCTTGTTATCAATATTCAATAACTATATCACCCTCCAAACACACCACACATAAATATATATAGTTACTTTAATTGATAATTCTGTGAAAATATTTAGTTTGAATTTGTCATATTTTCACTTCGATTAAAAAAAAATTATTTAAGTAATTTTATTTTTATAATTCTTAAATAAAGTTATGGAAAATTGAAGAAATTCAAAGACTCTTTTTTATTTATTTAATTTAATTAAGGTTAAAGAGTTTGTGTACAAGACATGTATTAGTATTAATAAGCTCTTTATGATTGTTAGAAAAGTGTAAGAGATCATGTGGCCTTTAGGTATGATCTAATCATTACAGCCTGTAAAACAGTTGGATTTTTATTTAAAATAAAATAAAAAACACATTAGCAGTGAATTAAAGGTTCGAATGTTTGGCTCGAAATTAGTGTTGGTTCGAATGTTTGGCTCGGAATATTTATTATAAAATGATTTTAATTTTTGTAAAAATATCATAGTATAAATGATTTAGGATTAATAAAAAAGTCATTACTAATACTAATACGAATTTAATTGATATGTTATAAAGAAAAATTAATATGAGTTAAATCATTATTATTATAATTAAGACAGCAATGTGACAGAGGAACTACATTTGATAGATTCTCAATTTTCATGTTGTTTTATTTTGTATGCGAAAAAATGGTGTCGGTTCACTCACTCGTGGGCCCGATGTGGACCAAAACTCTGAAACTCTTGTTTGTGTTTTCAAATTTTATCTTATTCCCATTGTGTCCACCATCATTTTGTATTTTTGTTTTAATTTTTGCTTTTCTGAGAAAAGTAGTTACTTAACTTCAACTGAAATTGGCCAATGAAGTCAGCAACAAACTATAACGATAATAATTGACTTATATTATATCCTTATAAAAAATAACTCTCAAATTTGTTATGTTTAATTGTAGATTCAACGGAGAAGATTTTCTGGAGAGAATGAGGGGAAAGAGCATCATGTTTGTGGGAGATTCATTAAGCAGAAACCAATGGCAATCTATGACTTGTTTGCTTCATTCTGCACTGCCTAATTCTAATTACACTGTTGCTAGAGTTGGAGATGTTTCTATATTTACATTTACGGTAACAAATTTTAACTTTATTTTAATTATTTTTCTTTTTATTATGTATTGTGAAAAAATAAGAACGGAACAGGCATGGGTATCTTACATTTCTAAAGACTATAAAGTGCATAAATATTTGTTAATGTCTACTCTTATAAAATCTAAAAAAATAAAATGGGCGAAGCAGGACAAGGGACTGAACTAAATCTTTTAACCTACCTTAAAAAAAAGTGTGTAAATTAGATATGTCGGGTTACAAAGTGGGAATAGTAAGTTGCATTGTTTGGTGTTAAGTCATATATAAGTGGTCCCTTCCTTGTGGTCCATAATTAACAAGTAACTTAGGCAAATGGCTACATGTTTTTAATGCAAGATCCAACTCCTATTCATTTCTCTTATCTAGGATAAAATCTTTCTAAATCAGAAAGCTTTAATGTTTAATTAGGAGACATATCATGGTTACTTATATTTTCGGTCATGCCTAAATTAACATTCTTTAATTTATGATAGTACTTTTTCATTTAACCTAGTGTAATTAAGGTATATTTGGCTTTAATTGAGATTCTAGAATTACTTTAAAAGCTTTAATTGAGGTATTTTCCCTTTACACACTTCACAAAATTGGTTCCACCTAATATTCACTGTCAACTTAGCCCATTACTCAATGAATTTAATGTGACCATAATAGCAAATTGTAGGTGAACTCAATAAAATATAAAATGTTTTTTTAGTAGTGACTAAATTCCATTTTTTTAAAATAAATTAGGATCTTACATTTTCAAACATTACTCGGTATGTATCTCCTTGAACAGTTAGTTATCAACAGAATTGATTTAACTTGATGAGAGTCATTTTTATTTATAGCATTATTTGAATTCATTTGTTATCTTATGGAATATTTAATTCATATGTTATTTATATAATAATTTGCAGGAGTATGAAGTGAAAGTGATGCTAGATAGAAACGTGTATTTAGTGGATGTTGTACGAGAGGATATAGGCAGAGTCTTGAAGCTAGATTCCATAGAAGGAAGCAAGCTATGGAATGGTGTTGACATGCTTATCTTTAACACATGGCATTGGTGGTACCGTAGAGGACCCACTCAACCGTAAGCTTGTTATTTAAATTCAAGATTCAATTATTTTGGAGCATAATTATTAATCAAGTTTAATAAAATAAATTAAAAACCCAAAATTCAGATGGGATTATATTGAAGTAGGAGGTGAAGTTATGAAAGATATGGATAGAATGAAGGCTTTTGAAAGAGCTCTCATTACATGGGCAGCATGGGTAGATGCCAACATTGACCCTACAAAAGTAAGGGTCTTCTTCCAAGGCATCTCTCCTTCTCATTACAAGTAAGCAAATTACAAATCTATTATTTTTTATTTTTTTAACTCGATGGTAAATGAGATTGAATTAAATCGGTCTAAATTATTATATGTGTAATTCAGTTTCTAACGTGTGGTTAGCATATAATTAGATCTAGATATGCATTAATTACAACTAATTTTGTATCTAATTGTTGATTAGAAATTAGTTAGTTAGTAATATAATTCTATACAGATCTCACACATGTTTGTAAAAAAATATTCAGTTCCATTTCAATAATATTTTTTCTCAACTAATCTTTATTCTTATCTATTTTCCTTAATTTGCAATAACTTGTAATTCAAGTTACCTATAAAAACAACTAATATAGGGTACAATTGGGATATGACAGTAATGTTTTTATTTTGAACTTTAATTTCAGTGGTACTCTATGGAATGAGCCAACTGCAAAGAGTTGTATCCGAGAGAAGACACCGGTACCCGGATCGACATATCCCGGGGGATTGCCACCGGCTGTGGGTGTGTTGAAGAGTGTACTAAGCACAATTAAGAAACCGGTCACATTGCTAGACATCACAACCCTTTCACTGCTTAGAAAAGATGGACATCCTTCCATTTATGGACTTTTTGGTTTAAAAGGAATGGATTGTAGCCATTGGTGTCTCTCTGGTGTTCCAGATTTTTGGAATGAGATACTCTACAACCTTATTTAATGTCTTTTTTTTTTTGTTTATTTTTTATTTTTATAATTGATCAATTGGGGGGACTTATTGGATTCTTATAATAGATAAAATTTATATAGAAAAATTGGGTGGATAGATTGATTTTGATAGCTGGCTACCCTTTGTAATGCATTGTACTCAAAATAAAATGAAAATAAGAAATTTATTTGAGAATAACACAGTTTGTGCTCGAATGTCTTTATCTTTTATTTTGACACCATTTAAACATAGTTTACTACTATTTCTTTTGTTACATTTGAAATAAAGTTTGTAATTCGATTAAAACAATATATAGACTATTTTATAGACCACGAAGTTGTTACAATAGATACATTAAAATAAAGTTTTCATGAAATGATTCAAAAAGTATAAAAATTTAAATAAAGTTTTCTTATGACACACCCCCGACGCTTTTTTTTTTATGGTCATTGACATTCCCATTATCAACAAATATGCTCACTCAATCAGGTTAATAAAATCATATGGTCTGATGTGCTTACTCATATTAGTCTAATATTTGAGTCTTTTATACGAGTCGCAAACAAACATGTCTATTCTGTTTGACTCGTTCTATAAAATTCCGTAAAAAATAGAACGAAACGGATTTTATTAAGAGTGTGTCTAAAACTATAATTTATCCCATGAAAAATGAGTGTGGGACAGAGCAGACCCGCAAATGTAACATCCAAAGTCTATGAAGTAATTCATAAACTAAAACTAGAGTAATTTAAAACAATTAAATAATTAGGATGTCACATTCAACCTGCTCATACAATAGGATATGTAACACACACATATAAAAATTAAAACATAATTTAAAACATATTCAAGTCTGATCTCCAATATTTTATTAGCTGCGAGAAAACATCAAAGAACAATTAGTTTTACTCCTCAAACATGAGTTATAACAACAATACTCATTGTTGTACCCAAATTTTTGACCTAATATACCACTTCATATGCATCATTGCATCTCTAAAAAAAATATAAAAATAGTTGTGTTTGCTCCTTGTGTCAATCAAGATTTTGAATCAAGAGGTCTTCATCAATACAAGTCTTGATCAATTAGGGTTTTGATTGAAGGGAGTTGATCATTGACTTTTGGCTCAGTGCATGATCTAATGGCTTGAAGCATAATTCAAAGAACTCAAATGCAACATCTTGACCTAATTATATGTCTCAAGACATTTTCAAAGATACAATTGACTAATAGTGAAAGAATTGGAATCAATTGATGAAAAGTCAACTATCACACAAAAGTCAAACTTGGACTTTTTTTGTCAACATTGAACTTCAAAGATCAAAGATCATCAAAACATTCAAAAATATCAAAACTGTTCATCAAGAATCAAGAGAATCAAGAAAGTCAACAAAAGTTAAAATTGAAGATTTTTCCAACACTTAGAAAAATTCAAGTGTTGTGCCTAAAAAGCCTTAACTTCACAAGAAAGTTTCACCAAGATGCAAGATGATTCAAAGAAAACTTTCAACATGAATGTTGTAGAGAATAAAAAGTTCTACAACTTTGTCGGTGAGGGTTGATCTCTAAAAAATGCTCAATTTAAGAGATATAAGCATGTGAAATTCTGCCAACACTTAGAAATTTATCAAACAGTTTTGACCTTAAAAAGTGACCAACTTCATGGCCATTTTTCATTAAGATCCAGATTGATTCAGAGAAAGTGTTCAACATGAAAGGTATACATAAAGTTTGAAGCTTTTTAAAATGTCCAAGGGCATGAATCTATCTAACTTGAGCTGGAAGTTTCAAAGAGATGAAGTTGGATGATCAAAGATGTATTACAAGTCATTTTTGAGATAACCTTATGCTCAAATCTCCAAGCCATGTTATATAATCTTGCTTTTCAGGCCATAGTACCTCCAAATCTATCCAAAATCATAAGAGTACATAAGCTTTTGAGCCTTTGTCCAAGTAATACAAGCTATTGTCAAATTAACTTGCCATTTTAGGAAGAAAGACACCATTGTCATTCTTGAAAAGCAAAATTTTTGTACAAAGTCTTTCTTGAGCCCATACCTTTGATTTCTTATAACCACACTCCACCCTAAATCAAGGAAACAACCTCTCTATACAAGCAACTCCTTGTACTATGTATTGGAACCATGGAAGTTTCACATAACTTGATATTTGCTTTGGAACCAAACCATAACTTGATAACTTGAGAACTTGCCCATCTCATTACCTATGAGTTTTCTCTATAAATAGAGAGCTCATTTTCACTTCAAGCACACCAATTCACAACTTAGAAACACCTCTAAACTCTCTCATATTCAGAAATTGTTCAAAAACTCCATTAAAGCTCCAAAAAACCATTTCTTCGAAATTCTCAAACCCTGCAAGTTTTATGCAATCTAACCATTCAGACACTTTATAAACATCATATAGAACCATCTAAACCCCTGTCACACTTCTTTTACGCCACCATCATCATCCTCCATTTTCACTTTTGGTCAAGTTTGTTAGATAGATTCATGCCCTTGGACATTTTAAATATTTACGACTTTGAAACCATCCAAATCCTTACGACTTTGAAGTTTGTTTCAAATATTTTAACTGAGTGCGCCCTTTGTACAAGGCATATCGTATGGCCCAGTAGTAGATCTTTTGACCGATGACCCTGAGGGCGTGGCATCAATCCTTGCTAGGCCCTTTCCTATATTTTTATCACCCGTTTCCTTTCATTTTTTAACAAACTTCACTAATTATTTTCACCAATCAAAACAACTTATTTTGAGTTGATTTTTTGCACACTTTTTATTTATCTACCCTATTTTATAAATATGTGAAAAATCCCATTTTTTTTTATTATTTATTTCCTCTTTTTTATTTAATTCAAAACAAGTCAATTTTAGTTGTTTTTAAAAACCTTTTTTACTTTCTCTTGTTAATTTTCTTGAATAAACCCATGTTAAATAACCATGTGTTGCACCCCAAAATTTACCCTCTCATTTCTAAAGGAATCACCTTGGATCCTCAAGATTGCTTCTGTGACACCCCAAATTTATTCAAGTGTTAAATAATTAGGAATTTAATTATTAAATTAATTAAAGGCTTAATTAATAATATTTTGGATTAAATGGATGAATTAATTATGAAATTAAAAAGGAAGACCGGGGGGTGTAAGGTTGAATTAGAGGTGTGTGAAGTAAAAAGCTCTACTAAATAATAACTAATTTATTACTATTATTTGGAAAATAATAAAAGGAATATAAAAAAGAAGGATAAAAAGGAAAAGAAAAAGAAGGTTATTTGGAAAAGTCATTATACGTGAAATTGGAGAAGAGAAGAGAAGAGAGGAAAAAGCCAAACGCCGTAAATTTGAAGGATCATTGCGAGGTAAGGGGTGATTTCGATTAGTTAATTCGTATTATCGGTTTAGATATTCAATAGTATGGATCATAGTATGTTAGAGAATCCCGGTTTGGAATTCTAGGGTTCCGTAGAATTGTCCCTATTGCGTCAAATTGTAGGTTGAAAACCATTAGAGTGTCAGATGATAAAAAGGAATGATGAAATAATGTTGTTTGATGTTATAATGGTGCAAAATGGATGTGTTTTGGTGTTTCTCATGTTGCAATTCGTATGGGTATGTTTGGAATTGGTTTAGAATGAATAAATGATGTCAAAAGTGCAGAATTTGACTCTGCAGGTCGTGGGAACCGGTTCCCAGTGGGGAGGAACCGGGTTCCATTGTGTGAATTTATAAAAACTGGCAAAAATGCACGTAGGAACCGGTTCCTGTATAGGTAGGAACCGGGTTCCCATACATTTTCCAGAAACGTGATTTTTGAACTTCGCAGGAACCGGTTCCTGCATATGTAGGAACCGGGTTCTGCTGTAACTTTTTGAAAAATATTAAACTTTGAAAATTCATAACTTTCAAACCGTAAGTCCGTTTTGAGTGTCGTTTTGGACGTTATTTCTTAAATTTAGTGATCTATTTTATAAAATGAGAAGATTTCCTAAAACCTGAAATTATTTTGAAAATGAGTCAAATCCCGGAATAAGTTATTATTGGCTAACACACATGGGTGTGTATGTAGTAGTGAACCTGTGATGGATGGATGTATTAGTATTGTGTGAATGAAAGGCATGTTTATGTTGATAATGATGGTGTGCATGATCGTTGAGATATCATGTTTTTGGTTTTGGTTCAGTTATGATAAATTGATGTATTTCATAGACTGATTTGATGTTGCATGCTAGTGATGTGCGTGCATATGCATTATTTTGGTGAAGTTAATTCCCATTGTGTGGAATTTGACTTGTATTGCCGTTAACCGATACCCGGGTGATGATGGGTGGTTAGGCTGGATTCGTGTCCGGGTGTTTATGGACGAATCGATGGTTGCTGTATCCGGTTGATGATGGATCAGTGTTGGGTGACTTGGTCACGTGTTGGTACCACATGCATTGTGTCTGCATTTGTGTTTGCATGGAATTGTAACATGTTAGGATGTCTTCCAGTGTTACAATTCTTTGGTTGATTATTGATTTGTGCATAATGACTTGTATGATTGGAACTGCGTGTTGAATATGAATTTATGCTAAAATGGGTGAAATAATATGCTTGTGATATAATGTTGATTGAGAAGCTTATAATGCATGTTAATTATGAGAAATCTCACCCTTACTTTAACAATTTCATATTAAAGTTAGCAGCTCAGGAGTTGGTGAGGATGGCTCTAGAGCTATGTTACTTTAAGTCCGCATGTCAGTGTCGTGCTCTGATAGATTGTAACACTGAGGAACGTTTAGTTGAGGAATTAGTTATTATTCAATTGTTTCTTTGAATTTCATTGGGAATAATTATGTTTTGGTTTATTCCGTTTTGGTTATGGTATCTTTCTGCTGTGTAAGACATGGTCTTAACTTGATTGAATTATTTGAATAATGACCCTCAGTGTAGCATGACTACTGTTTTATTGGAAGTTTTATTTATTTCATAATTGTGACATCCCTTGTTTCG